ACCAAACTGTTACAAGGTGTGAGACAACATGCTCTTACATTGCAGAAACAATAACTTGTTCAGCAATGCTCCTAATTAACATACAATAGTCATAACTTCACCAGTGTCATGGGATTTTAGGGATTTTAGTGATCTGCATTGTGTCTGTCATCAAAGTGTCTCAAATGCAAGGGCCAAAGAATGAATGACACTTTAGTTCCTCTGATATCATATTTGACCATAACAAATCAGATGATGTAAAATATAACAGGAAGATTAAGAAGGCATGATTAATGCAGTCTGCAAACTGTTTCTGAAAAAGCAAGGTATAATAACATTTTTTAAACTCTTGACTAGACAGACTCTGGACACTAGCAAGATGCTCACATAATGAGGACAATACTCTTCTATGCATTCAATATTAATTTCAGTTGTGTTATTATATTGTTAATAGAGCTTCTCATAAATTTATAATAATTCTACATGCAGCAGGTAATACGTAACCTAACAAAAACACAACCAATCCTTACATTTAGGCATTCCATTAGCGCAGCACACCGCCGTCACTTCAATATTCATATATATGTAAAAATAAATTAACCTTAGGTAACAGATGCTAATCTATTACCTCAGTTGATAATAAAACCTTAGCTGTAAAAAAAAATATTGATTGTACTTAATCACGCTGGCTTGCACATGCAACTGCACAATAGCAGGAAAATAATATAAAGAATAAACTGTAAACATATTTTAAGAAATTGTAAAAAACTGAAACATACACATACAAAAAGAAGAAGAAAGAAAACTAACAATTCATGTCTGAACTACGGTATATAAAGAAGAAGGCGAAACTCGTAGTATTACTTTTCCCCCAAATAGTCCCCTTTATGTTGCATTATTTATAGAGGACGCTGCAGTCTTTCATATAACCTAGCAGAACATTTGAATTGCTTGTAAATAAAAGAGGACACTCACTGTTGCATTTTGTATATGAAAGAAGGCAATCTTGAAGTTGAAATAAAGTAAAATTTCATAAATTGTAGAAGAATGACAGAATATTTGCACTTTTATTTCAGTTACAGAAAACAATGCAAACTTATCCCCCTTCTTTTTCATTTGAAGTAGGCTTTTATAATAAATGGAAAATGACGCAATATTGTTTATGATTAAGGGCCTGCACGGTGAAGTGAAAATATAAGATCAGCAGATTATTGTAATGAAAAACGAATTGTGAACGAAACAAACGTCAGCATATTAAATAAGTTATAAATAATGTGAAATTGCAGGAACTGATAAAATAAATAAATGGAAATTACAAATTAAGATTTTAATCCTGGCACAGTGCATTATTATTATGCATTTATAATTATTTTTTATTAGACTATTACGCATTTTTAACTATGAAGATTTTAAATTTGGATTCGTAGAACTATTTCAGTGTTATATTCTACAACTAATTTCACGTTAAAATTTTCAAATTAAATCTTGGTCATTAAATGTTAGATTAACATGAACAAGAGCAAATTAATCAATACATTAAGCAAATTTTTCTCTTAACCAAATAATTTCTAATGTTTATATCTATTTGTTGAAATATATACATATATATTTTAAGATCTTCTCCTGCTAGGAAAAATGGCCAAGCGGTCACAGAACAATGGTAGTTCAACCTGCGCTCGATTCCAAGCAAAGGGGCTGGTTACATGGGTGTTTCTGTGAGTTTCCCTATATACCACAAGCCAGTTTTCCTTAAAAAGCCCTCCATAAAGGCATCCCCCTAGTGTGCTTTCCTATAATCAAATGAGCTAAATGAAACTAACTAGAAGAATAGAGGTATGCAATTCCTCGAGCAGACCAAATACTTTCGGGGAATGAGGTTACTTATAAACATTATATCCTAGAAATTTATATGAAATGTTATTATGAGACTAAGTTGTCCTTTTAAAATGACAAAGCTATGGAATTTTTTCAACAAAAATTGATAAAAATATCAAGATCAAAATTGCTGTTTTATTCATAATCATGAATAATTTATCACGACAGAAAAGAAACTTATATTCTGAAGCACAAAATTCTACGTAACATTTATTAAACTTCTGTCATAATTTATATCAAACTGTGTTATGATATATATCAAAGTGTCTTATGATATAAGTACTTTAAGAAATAAGAAAGGGAAGAACATTAATTAAATTGAATATACCTACACTAAATATTATTAATAATAATATTCGTTTGTTATGGGCAGAAAACTGAGAAAGGACTTTTACAGATTAATCATTCATAAAAAGCACTACAGTACAAAGTCTGTAATCCAGACGTCCATTATCCAGAATGATCTATAATCTGGACCTCAAAGCCACAAACTTTTTTTTTTTTTTTTTTTTTGTATGCTTTACGCATACGCGTTTAATGTATAATGGAAGGTATAAGCTAGGCTAAAATTATCTTTACTGAATCTAAGGCATTTCAGTTAATGTTGCAGATTGCGCTGTTCCTTAATCTTCTAATTGGATCCGGCTTATTTTTTGCAGATCCTTAGAGCAATTTTATAAAAATTAAGCTTGAACTTTCGATTATGTCAAAAAGAGGTTCCAATTCTGCATATGCCGAAGGATCTACAAAGCGAAAGGATGTTTCGATGTCCATCAAACAAAAAGTGGAATTGCTGCAGAAAATGGAGAAAGGCTATCCGTCTCAAAATTATGCGAGGAGGATGACACTGGAAAGTCAACTGTATACGACATAAGCAAAAAGAAAAAGGAACTTTTTGAATATTTTGTGGATTCCGACGGCCAACTTGCAATGAATAACAGAAAAAGGGTTCATTAGCCAAAAGTGACGACCATGATAAACTGATGATTGAATGGGTCAGACAGCGATGCAGCGAGGGTGCGCCATTGACGGGTTTAATGCTAATGGCTCAAGCCAAAATATTTCATGAAGAAATGAACTTAAACACTGAGTGCACATATTCGACAGGCTGGTTAATCAAATTTAAAAATCGTCATGGTATCAGAAAGTTAAAAATTTCAGGTGAAAACGCTTCAGCTAATACTGAAGCTGCTGAACAATTTGCAGATGAATTCATTGAACTCATTACTAGTGAACAATTACCTCCAGAACAAATTTACAATGCTGATGAAACTGGTCTTTTCTGGCAATATGTGTTGCGAAATACCTTGGCATCCTCACCAGAAAAGGCTCCAACCCGTCTCAAATATTCCAAAGCGAGACTAACAATTTTAGAGTGCGCAAATGCTGCAGGAACGTGCAAGTACAAACCTTTCATAATCAGAAAACATGCTCGACCTCAAGCATTTAATGAAGTAATAATATTTCCCATTATATATCGTGCAAATAAAAGAGCATAGATGCCACAAGCGTTAATGAATGATTGGTTTAAAAATCATTTTATACCCGAGGCTCAGCGACATTTGAATTCAGTTAGTTTACCTGATGACTCAAAAATAGTCCTGCTTGCTGACAACTGTTCGGTGCATACTTCACTTAAAGTTTTAGTGAAAGATAATGCATCCGTATAACTCTTCCCTCCATATTGTACGTCTATCGTTCAGCCTATGGATATAGGAATAGTGCACGTGCTGAAATGCAAATATAAAGTAGCATTTTAAAAATCTATGTTAAATTTATTGAACAATGGCATTCAAGACTTTTTATAATTTTTTGACATAAAATCTGCTGTGTTGAGCATCGCAAGATCGTGGGAGGATGTGTCTCCAGATAAGTTAAAAAATGCTTGGCATAATTTATGGCCTGCTACCATATTTCATGGTGAGGACGATGAAGATGATAGCCGCGAATTTGAAGGTTTTCGGACATTGCAAACTAAAGGTGAGATTTTACACTTATTGGATTTTGTAAAGAAGTGTTAAGAAGCAGTAATAAATAAAGATGATATAACAGAAGTTTTTCATTGCAACAACAATGCCCCAATCATCAATCAACGGGCGGCGAAATCTGTAGTATGGTTCTAGATACAGAAAATGCCACTTGCGATACTGAAGAAAGTGGCAGAGAGGTTATTGAACATGAAAAAATTTCGATTGACAAGTTATTCGGTATTCTTGACACAGCAATTGCAGGACTTGAACAGTGGAACTTTGTAACTGAACAAGAAATGATGTCCGTTTATAGAATTAAAGAGAAAGTATTAGCACAAAAAATGAAGCAACTTAAACAATTTACATTGAAAGAAATGTTTAATAAAGTAAACAAATAAATATTAAGCTTTTTCTTTGTAAATTTCAATACCCTTTAGATCATAATTGTTCTTTATTTCATAAATTACGGTTTCATATTTTTAATTGTATAATTTCTGCATGGCATCTTACCAGATTTAAATTGATGATCTATAATGCGGAAAAAACCCTAATCCAGAATTGCCGAAGTCCCGACGAGTCCGGATTAGAGACATTGTACTGTACAATCTTTTAACCATGAAAGCTATAAACTATATTTTATAATTTGAAGAGTAAAATATATACTTTACTAAATAAGAAAGGGAAGAACACTAATTAAATATAGCAGATATACATTATATATTATTAATAATAATATGATTCTTTGTTACGGGCAGAAAACTGAGAAAGAACTTCTACAGATTAATCATTCATATAAAGCACTACAATTTTTTAACCATGAAAGCTGTAAATTATATTTTATAATTTGAAGAGTAAAATATAATCATTAGAGAAGAGAACCCAGCAGTGTTAGTTCATAGAATATTACCCCACAAACATAAATTTTTTTATAGATATCTATAAACATAATCCAAAGCATATAAAAAAAAGGCTTCCTCCACCACTGTGAAGCTTAAATTCCTTGCATAGCATATAAATGTTTACATTTGGAATTGCCAAAAATACCACTGCAGCGCCACCTAGTGATCACGACGTTTTGAACCAATTTGCCGACTATGCAGTTTCATCTCCTTCTTTGTAATTCGTGATCTCAGAAACATGAATGAAATAAAGATATTTTGCGAAAAAATTTTTTACCTCACTTAAAATAGCCCATCGGTCACTTTCACTGTGGACATACAGCCTCATGATTTTAACATAACCAACAGTTGAGCTTATGTTACCTTCTGCAACACCTGTTGTATCTTTGAACTGTCCAACAATTAGAAAGCCATCTTTGGTCTTTGGATATGGCTGGTCTTCAGAATATGTAACTGGTAAAACTTCAATTGTTGTGTTGAAAAATTTGTCTTCAGGATGCTCAGCATTCCCACTTCTGAATAAATACCTGAAAGCAAATTGCTTTATCAAAATATACTTGTTCTGATGGCAATCATTTTAAGTAAAACAGCCTAAATACCTAGATGCCCAAAATCAATTTTAAATTCAAAATAACCGAAACTTTCACAAAAATTCAGTGAAAGAATAAAATTTGGTCACAGCATAAAAGCACTTCAGTATTTAGTTTAATAATCATCAGGGCCAATTTAAGAAATTCAAGGGAATAGAATAGAATACAAGAATAGTAAAAAGGTGTAATGCAACATTTATATAATATTAAGGTGCAACATTTTTTGTAAAAAAAATCTTAAATGTCTAGCATATTTTGACAAAAGTTTCACTGGCAATTTAAACCTCTAACATTTTAAAACATATACCCAATTTATTACATTTCACAGCACATTGTTTTCTCATCATTCTAAATTATACAATACTTTGTTGTAAGCATTTAACTAAAAGTACGTACATATTCTGATTTATTTTTAAAATATTTTTATTATGTTTTATAAAATTCTTTTGCACCTTCACAGTTTTGCCCCATAAAATCATACATTTTTTTCCTTCATTAAACACTGAAATCTTAACATATTTTGCTTTTTGAACATCAAACACCCTAGTTAGCTTGAAGCAATGTATATGAATGTATTGCATCTTTTTTTCCATTAGTACAGAAAAACCTCTTAATAGTTCATAATACATTTGGAGATTGTTAATAACTTTCTACTAGGTTTGAAAAGTTGCAGATTAGCTGAACTTTGCTGTACATCAGAAGAATTTAGTGCAAATCTTAAAGATTTAACTGCATGACTATCAGATTCATGCTGTGAACAGAACAAGGTATGTATAAAACAGTGGATTTTTCAATAATTTGGAAGGTGAATAATTAATTACACATATGTGAGTTCTAAGACAGACATGCTGAAAATGTTAATAGTCAATGCTCATTTTGAAAACTATTTTGATCACATGTAATTGGTACTGTGAATTATGCAATGTGAAGCATTAAGTAGAGGAGTGGGGGGCTTAACTGTGGGGACACTTAACCAGCCCCAATAATCATAAATTAGTGCAAACTGCCTCCAGTCATAGTCAAATGTAATAGAAATGCGAAGAAAAGGTTTAAAAATTTAATCACTTAAATGAATTTTTATAATTTAAAGATTATGTGATTATCATTAACCTTCATATAAATAATATAATAAGATTTTGTATTTAAAATGCAGTCAAACTACTATAACAAAGCCAGTTTATATCTATACCCTTAATACAAAGAAAAAAACTTTTTTCCTACCTAGATATTTAATGTAATTTCATATGACCATAGCAAACCTGCAATTGTATGAAAATAAAATACAGTACAAGTCAATGATCCGGAGTCGACGGGACTTCGGCGATTCTGAATTTGGAATTTTTCTGGACATTAGATCATCAGCTTAAATACAGCAAGATGCATGTAGAAATTATAGTATCGAAATGGTATCAAAATTTGCCCCTCCCCCCAAAAAAAAGGTTTAAAATTTTAAATTACATCCAAAGGGGCATGAAATCCTTGAGTGTGTTAATCAAAAATTCGTTAAAAGATTTACAAAATATGAAATCGATAATAAAACAAGTTTCAAATTTGGGCTGCCACATGCCCATATTCGCAGTAGGATTATATCATTCATAATTTGATGGCGCTATGTACTGTTGTTTTATCACAATGCAAAAAATATACATATATTTATGCAGATTTTTCATTATTTAATTTCTTCAAATATAATGCAGGAATATAGCATTTGGTGGCAACAGTTTGAAAAATGAAACGGACATTTATAGTGAATCAACGCAAAACGAAAACAATAGTCCTTCCGTGACAAAGCCCCTTTGGACTTAAAAAAAAAAAAAAAAAAAAAAAAAAAAAAAAAAAAATTATTTATTTTTACTTATTAAAGATTTCTTTCAATGTAAGTTGTTTAAGTTGCTTTGTTTTTCATGCTAATACTTTAATTCTACAGACAGACCTAATTTCTTGTTCAGCTACAAAGTTCTAGTTTTCAAGTCCTGTAATTTCTGTGTCGAAAATTCCGACTAACTTGCCAATCGAAATTTTTCGTTTTCAGTAACTTCTCTGTCACTTTCTTCACTATCGGAAGTAGTATTTTCTGGATCTAGAACCATACTACGGATTTCACCATCCGTTTAACTGACTGATGATTGGGGCATTGCCACTGCAATGAAAAACTTCTGTTATAGCATCTTCATTTATTACAACTTCTCCATACTTCTTTACAAAATCCATTAATTCGAAAATTTCACCTTTGGTTTGCGATATATGAATACCTTTAATTTCATGACTATCATCTTTGTCAGCATCACCGTAAAATATGGTAGCTGGCCATAAATTATATCAAGCACTTTCACTTTTTAAAGTATCTGAAGACACATCCTCCCACGATCTTTCGATGCTCCAGACAGCAGATTTTATGCTAAAATATTTTTAAAAAAATCCTCGAATAGTCTTGCCATTATTTAAGAAATTTAACAAGGATTTTAAAAATGCTTATTTATATTTGCATTTCAGCGTGCACACTTTTCTGATATTCATAGGATGAATGACAGACGTACAATTTGGAGGCAAGAATAATATGGATACATTATCATTCACTCAAATTTTAAGTGAAGTATAAACCGAATAGTTATCTACAATTAGGACAATTTTTGCGCCTTCAGGTAAATCAGCTGAATTCAAATGTTGCCAAGATTCAGATATGAAAAGATTTCCAAACAAATCGCTCACTGATGCTTGTGTCATCAATGCTCTTTTATTTGCACAATACAATGAATAAGGGAGAAAATCTTCACTCCTTTAAAAGCTCAAGGGCATGCATTTTTTTTTCCAATTACGAAAAGTTTACACTTGTGCATTCTTGCAGCATTTGCACATGCTATAATTATTAGTCTCGCTTTGGAATTTTTGACACCAGTTCCAGCCTTTTCTGTACAGGTTGCCAAGATATTTCGCGGTGGCACATATTGCCAGAAAAGACCAGTTTCATCAGCATTGTAAATTTGTTCTGGAGATAACTTTTCACTATTAATACACTCAATGAATTCACCTGCAAATATTTCATCAGCTTCAATATCAGCTGAAGCATTTTCATCTGTAATATTTAATTGCCTTATACCATGGCAATTTTTAAATTTGGTCAACCAACCTGTGAAATATGTGTTCTTAGTTTTTAAGTTAATTTTTTTATGAAATATTTTGGCTTGAGCCATTAGCACTGGATCCATCAATGGCATGCCCTTGCTGCGATGCTGTTTAACCTATTCAATCATTTTGTCATGATCCTCACTTTTAGCATAGTAATTTTTCTTTTATTCACTGCAAATGGGGCGTTGGAATCCATCAAAATTCAAAAATTTCATTTTTCTGTTGTCTTATGTCATATACAGTTGACTTTCCAATAGCATACTACTCGCATAATTTTGAGACAGATATACCTTTATCCATTTTTTTGCAGATTCTGCTTTTCGTTTAATAGATATCAAAGCATGCTCACGCTTTTTAGATCGTGTCGCAGCTCCAGAATAAGAAATTCTTTTTGACATAATTGAAAGTTCAAACTTTAGTTTTCATCAAATTGCTGTAATAATAACAGCTTGCAAAAAACAATAAGCTGGATCAAATAAGAAAATTAAGGAACTGCACAATCTGCTATATTAATTGAAATTCTTTGGAATCAGTAAAGTATATTTTTAGCCTAGCTTATTCGCATCCACTATACGTTATTAGTTATGTATCACAAGATTGGCAACGAAAGACAAGTTATTCTGATAAATTTTGTCTGGCTTCTATCATGCACTGAGACATGCCTGAATTTTATTAGTTTAGTTATTTATTACACTGACATTTATTTTTTACATATGCTTTAAGGCTTATTTGAGTCCTGAATAAATACATTCCCTCATATACTTAAGGCTTATTGAGGGCAGGCACTAGATATCTTACAGCATGATGTAATCTTTGTGGGTCCTAAATTCTGCTACCATGCACCTCCTAAGTTCTAAATTTTTGCTGCCCCTAAATTTTGGGTCCCAGTGCTTTTCCTAAATTCTAAGAATTTTGTCATCCCTTAATTTTGTTGCTTGGTGCTTATCTAAATTCGATTTTTTTCCCCTCCTAAATTCCGCTGCACGGTGTGGACATATGAGCTCTGGAACTGGTTGAGCACACTGAAAAACAAAGTGGTCAGTTCTAAGACAATATGAATGGCATGATTGTATTAAAATAGAACTTTTTAAGGGGGGGAAGAAATTGTCACTGCAAGTGGATGGCTTAAGGGGGATTGAAACTATACTGAAACTAGACAATTATCAAAGACAAAATTGAGAAAAATGGTGATTATGAATGTTGTCTGAATAAAAAAGATGAAGAAAATGATTGAGAAAAAGAAGCATGTCCTACATGTGTGCCCATGGACAAAGATTAAACATTTGAGAAGCACATCTCCTAATTTACTATGTATGTAAGATATTTTACTGTCACCCATGGATGTTGGTAGAGATTCAGTCAAATATCTATGAATCAGTCTGGCTGAAGTTCAATGGAAGATATTGCTCTATATTTAGTTAACACATACAAGTTATGGTTGTTGCAACTGAAATAAACTAAAATAAGCATGAGGTCAACTCATTGCCGTTGTTTACCCAATTAAGTTCTATGTTATGTCCAATACTGCACACTATTTTTCTTGTTGGTACCCTGTAACTTTGAAAACAAGTCACTGCATTCTGTTCTGCAGAAGGTAGATTTAGTCAAATTTTTATAATACAAGGGGAAACACAGAACAGCAGATAAATCACATCTTTCTTTACAAGCAAAACTGATCTACCAAGGATTGATCAGAGTTGCATAAAACTAAGGGAAAGATCTTATGAATATATTATAATACCATACTTATCCATTATTCGTGTTAAATCACATAATCTGGTGACAGTCTTTGGTTTCTCAAACATGTCAGTTGAGAGTGAAGTATACAAGTACAAGTATAGATACAAGAAGATAATTTCAACAGGAAGATGACAGGTTCAGGTAACTTCTAAATTCCTATGTCAATGCTAGACACTGAATAAGAAAACAGTTGCATTCACAAAACAATATATGAGCATACTGTTGATGCTGCCTATAGCCACCTTAACTGGAAAAAAGCTGCTATTAAAATTTTGCATTCCACTTGCTTCACCAGGTTTCAAGACCAGTACAGAGCTTTAAAGATTATGCTTCATGCAAAAGATCTCAGACATTTTATCATTAGTGCCTCACTCACCATTAACAGACATACTCATTCTCACCCAAACAAAATCAAGTCATTTCAAAGTGGAAAGAAAGGATTTAAATGATAAAAGAAATCTTAATTTAGTACTCAAATTCCTTTGCTTTAGTGTAGTCCAATTTCATCACTACGTTCTGAAGAGAAAAAGTCAGGAGCATAGGTCTACTTCAGATGAGATGATTGACTGCTTTCATGAAGTATCAGATTACATATTAAGCTTGAATTAAAAAAAAAAAAATTCATTATTTTTGTCTCCTTTTTTCATTCAAAATAAATAAATAAGTAGAAAAGGGGGTAATGCTGAAGAGTTAAAGCTGTTATCAAAAATTATTGGGGTATTTTCATAACAAGAAATCTCTAGATAATAAAAATTCTTTAGGGAAACTATGAAAAACTTTTAACTGTGCAATTAATGCACAAGAAAGAAAAGTGGAAAAGCTATATACACAGAGACATAAAATGACATATCGACAAAATGCTTTGGAACATTTAGCTTTATAACTGCTATCAGTTTAAAAAGGCTTTTCAATTCCTTTATTTAGTTCCATTATTTTCTATTTAAAAGTACGATTATAATCTAAAATATCGCAACACCAATAGGTAAAACTGAAAGAAAGGGTTTTTTAACTTCTCATTTGCAGTAATCCAATACAATGCTAAATCTTTTGGGGATTATAACAAACTACATTAGGCCCAAAATTTAGGCTCCACATTTTGAGTTATTATAAATTTGGAATATTTAATGATTTACTATTTCGCTGCAAATGCTAATTCATTGAAAAACATTTAAGAGAATGCTGTCCATGTAGTTTTGTGATTAAAATACTTTATTAATATGCAGAATAAATGTATACAGGATCAGAAAGTTATACTTAAAATACAAAATGAAAATTTACTAAGTAAATCATTATAAACATACCTATCAATAAGAACAGGGTTATGAAAATGAAATGCAAGTATATCTCCAGGTTGAGGAAGTAAGCTCCAGAAAAATGTATCTCCTTTGTAAGCTCGCACAGCAGAATAACTTTTATAAGCTTTTAATGTAGTTTTAACATCTGCATCTGGATTTTTATGAGGATGATGAAGTGAGAGCTTCCCAAACTGCTTATCCTTTTAAAGAGAACTTACTTAAGAAAGTAGTATGTAACTTGAAAAATAACAGAATCTTATTCAGAAAGAAAAAGTACTTAAATTTGTTTAAAAAACTTTATTGCATAAATTTAAGCCAGTTTTAAAGATATGTATAGCAATAATAAGCAATTTAAGAAATAAAGGGACGCTTTTACAGTACAAATGTTTTCAAGTCTGCTTCTGTACTGTTATTTATCAGTTATTACTGTGTGACTATTAAACCACATTTCTTTACGTACATACACAAATTATAAGAAAGTAAATACATCTTTTACATCAAAACAAGAATGTTTCTGATTACATATACATTACTTTATCATCTCATTTTATGATTTTGTACAATTGAAATTTTCTGAAAACTAGTCACTACTCAGTAATACAGTGCATTGTCTAACAGCTAATCAAATACAATGAATTAATTGCACACTATAAACAAGAGATTTTTTGTGTTAAAAATATAATTTTAAAAACATCCATCTGGTATTGGAAAATATATTTGTTCATTTTATACTTAATTAATACATATTTTTTACCATTATCAGGATATGCAAAGTATGTGACCTGCTATTTAAATGCTGTTCCTCAAGAGTTACAATAATGCTTTATTAACACACTTTATATATTTCACATCTTGCTCATTAAGTACTCCAAAATATTTTTCAGATTATTTACTTCCTTTTTATTCATTGTCACAATCAAAGCTATCATATAATCTGTTTAAAAGATCTAAAAGCTTCACCTGTGAGATGGCACAGGACCTTCATATACTTCTGAAGTCCAAAAGTAATATTCATACATAAATTCTGAATCAACCTTGAAAAAAAAGAGGGGAAAATCCACAACGTTTTGCGTGAACGTTCACCCAGAAATCCTCAAAAGCAGAACAAGAATGAAATAAGAGCTTATAATACTAGAAGAAAATTATTCATCGTATTTAAGAATTAAAAAAGTATGACCTCAGCAGGGATTGCCACTTAGTGACAATAAATAAAAAATTAAGCATGGGTGAAAAAATCATTGAAGATAAAGGAAAATGGTCAAATCTGAATTTTATAGTAATAACAAGTCAATAGAAATTGCATATAAACACTGCAAGTGGCAGAAAAGCTAAATATACAAACATAAACATATATATATATATATATATGAAGAAATCTATACCAGTCTACTTGATCTACCAAAACTTTTCCCTAATATACTCAATATCATGACTCTTGACAAATGGAAACCTACCTAAAATGCACACTTTTTAATACTACATCAAGTTTCAAATCAACCGTTTTTAAACAAGTCAGAGGATTGCCAATGGGCTTACATTCCAGCACCTCGATCTGTAATATCTTTTTATTTGTCAAAGAATTTAACTTCCAAAAAAATCTACAACCACAAGAGTTAAATTACTACAAACACACCTACAGATATATTGATGACCTTATTACAATTAATAATTTTGGTAAAATTGAAAACTCCGACATTTATCCGAATTGTCTTAAACTTAATAAAACTAATAATTCACAAAATAGCATACTTTCTAGATCTTCAAATCATTAACTACAAAAAAATTTTACTTTTGACAAAACAAGAACTTCAATTTCAATACTAACAAATTAATAATTGGAACTCCAACATATCCAAAAAAGTAATTAACAATACTATAATTAATCAAATACAATGAATTAAAACTATATGCACAGATACAATAGATTTACAACACGAAATTTTGATCCTTATCAAAATTCTCAAAAATAATCTAATTCCCTTTCAATTTATCAACCATTGCCTTAAAAGAGTAGGCATTAAATACTCACTCTGAATCATTTAACTGATAGGGATATGATAATTTATTCCTAAACCTGAGAAGGCGGTATAAGTTGGATGACTGTCAGTTGAAAGATTTGTATATAGTGTAATTACTCAATTGTATATATTGTAAAAGCTAATTGTCTTCAGACATATACTGTTTACTAAAACATGGGCCTATTCCTGCCTTTAGACTGTGTATTAGCTCTTGGACAGCGAAAATGCCTTTTTCCTTTCTTAAATTCTTAATCATTGCGGCACGACAATTAGCCAGAAATTAATTAATTTCCATTCACTAGTATTTTCAAAAAAAAAATCTTAACAGACGGTCTCTCTCAGATAAGAACTCCACAAAATACATCCCTCAAGAATTCCAAGTCCCACCCACTACCATAAATTACTTCACCCAAGTCTTACCGACTGATATTATTCAAAGCCCCTACTGCCGCTAAGAATTTTCAGACACCCTACACTTCTGAGTCAGACACGAAGGAGACACTTGCCAACTCCCCCACTAGAAAGAATGTAAGTTACTTAATACATTTCTGGCCTTTATATCTTCAGTACATTCACTGATCTTATTTATATTATTTTCTATATTATTTTTTATATTTTTCTTTGATTTGTTTTTTACAAAACTTGCATTATTTATCTTTTTTATAATCTTCTATGTTTATTTCAACTTTACTTTGAATTCGATTTCATAATGACAATTTCCAATGTTTAATTTCTACAAATAATATAGTACTCAAATGCATAAAGATGAAAGTGTCGGGGACGGTTACTTGAGTTTTACAGGATTTCTCTACAGTAATTGATTTTTACTCCAAATTGAATTGACTAAAATGCTTCATGAGAATAAGTTCTTTGAATATCAGCATTGGTTCATAATTCCTACTATTCGCGGAAATATTTGGCCTGACTAGAATTGCCGGTTGGCTTTAACTTATAACTCGAGTAAAGACGAAACACTTTCGTATTTACGTATTTTATCAATATTGTTCATTGGACGGGAGTTGGTTTGTTCCCCTTGAAAAGTCAAACTAATTTCCGATCAATGACAATGATTACATGTTTAATTTTTCCTTTTACAATTGAAATATTATTCTTTTGTGATGATTTAACTCCAGTCCCCATTAAAACATTATTAAACATTTTGCTTTCAAATTACTTCAAAACATCTTTTCAAAATATAACTTACCAGTATGGATGCACACTTTTAAAATAATTCTACTTTAATTAAACTTAGGAGATAATATAATCAATTAATCAATACTGTTTAGGAAATAAATTATATATATATATATACATCTGTACAAAGATCTCAGGTTGTTTTTTTCTGGGCAGAGTTTACTTTTAATTGCCTAGTCTCCATATCACCTTTAGTTTAAAAGAAATCAAGAAGGAATATCTTAACTATGATGACCAAAGCCCTGACTTCAACTCTTATAAACATATTTGGGATAAGCTGTGTTAGACATCTCAACAACTACCGTTCCAGTATGCATCTTAATGCAGAAAATGCAAGGTACAAAGTATATGCATGAATATCTACAAATGAATATCTCATTAACTATGCATATCTGTAGGTTTGTAGAAAAACAAACTCACGGGATAACTGATTATTGAATTGACACTACAATGTTTAAAATATTTGTTTGAACGGGCATATTAAAAATGTTAGTTTTTAACAGCAGCAGAATTTGTTAAAATAAATAAATAAAAAACTCAAATACAATAAATTCTACTGAGAGCAGTAATATTTAGAAATTCACCTTCAATTTCTGGACCTTTCCTTTTAAAGATGAATGTGTTCCAACATGTTGAAATAGTGAAGGTTTATAATGCAACCATACTTGATCTTTTCTCTTCTTACAGTCTTTCTAAAATGAAAAAATACGAAAAACTCACTGTAATACTTTTCAATTCAAATTATCTACTGTTACCTTAACACAGTAAAAAGCAATATACCAATATGTCCAGCAATATATGTTATACAACAAATCGATTATTTTGCAAAAACTGTGTAAAAATATTTGCAAATTTAGATTCAACTGAAAAATGTTATTTTGACTAAAGAAATAAATTAATTTATTTAGTGTAATTTAATTTTTTTTTCAAATAAACTTTTTAATTTCAAAAACCATACAATAATAAATACAACAAATTAGCCGTAAATTGTTATAACATTCTCCATGATGAAAAAATAAGAGTTTCAAATAAACGTGCAGTAGCATGTCAGAACAGCTGTAGAATTAAGCAAAACAGAGTGATAAGAAGTTTGACTAAGAAGCACAGGCAGAAAATGATCCAAAATGTGCAAGTCACTCATATTTATTCAAATATCAATTTGTGCAACAACATGTACTTATATACATATTGCACACACTAATACTTGAACATAATTACATACTGCAATACACCTTGCCATACATACAATAGAAACAGTAATGTTGGCTACAGGCTCTTCTACATCATAAGCATTGGAAGATTCATTTTTGAGAGCTTTATTCCCAGCTCTCAGCTGATGATATCTCGGAAATACTCCATGAGTGAAGATAATTTGATTATAGACTATCTGAAGATGTAACTCATTTCTGTGCATGACGTTGAGAAAGATGTCGGAAGAAACTTCTTCTGTGCGCTTCTCCTCGGATTACTTCTTGCTTTTCTAGGGTGCGTTTTTTGTGCTGTCTTTAGTGTTTCGGCGCTTGAATCACTATGGAAACGTCGAATATTTCTCCCTCGGAGGAAAATTTTCCCCCGCTTCGTGATACACCGGCTGCTATCGGCGAAGAAGCTAAGCCTACCTCGTGGTCCGATGTGATGGATAACAATGATATAATGGATACTACTGGAAACGGCTACTCGATCAGCGAAAACGTGATCATCTGAAAAGGAATCGTTGGAATTTCTGCGTAAATGTAAAACCGGCTTAAACTCCCACGAAATATCAACATCATCAAAAAAATGTGTTTCAATTAACGTGCAAATTGTTAAAAAGCTTAGATCAGGCTCACGCGGATGCAGTTATCAAGTTCTACGGTGTGTGCCTAGAAAAATTACAAGCTGCTATCCAACGGGATTGTGCGCTCTTGGGATACTCCAGTGTTTTTAGCGGATCACATAATTAGTGAAATTAAACAAAATGTGAAATTGTATCAAGAATACTCCGTGGACCTGCAAGGTAAGTGTGCATGGTTATGTTATAATCTGTACGACTCTACCAAACTTGTTTTAGATGTAACCTGTAATGAAAATGCTAGTAATTCTCATGGTACCAAAATTGTTAAAAATAAGAGAAAAAATTCGGCCAAATACGCTAAAATTAATGATGATGATGGCTTTCAGAAACCATCAAAAACTGCAAAAGGAGTTCGGCTGACTCAGCCTCAGGCTATCCTGCCTTTGCAAAACAAATTTGCTAACTTATCGGTTCAAAATCCTAATACTGAAATTTGTCATGATTTAGTAGATGAAAATGTTAATGCTTGTATAGAAAATGTTGTTAAAAATTCTGATGTTGTATGTACTAATACTTCTTATGATAATAATGATGATAATGTTAATTCTGTAAACCAAGCCGGTGATGTAAATCCCCAGTCAGGAAACCCGCACCCGCAGTATGACCTGCAAGCCCCCCCCTCCTATTATGGTTAGGCCGAAAGTCGGCACTAAATACTATGATTTTTTGAAAGAGGTAGCTACGGAACTACCAGACTGCAAGTTCTTTGGCCGGGTCACTGGCGAATTTTTAAAAGTACTCCCTTCCACTGCCGAGGATCATCGGACTTTAAGCGAATTCTTCCTGGCTCACAAAATTGAGCATTATGTAGTTAACCCAAAAAACAAAAAACCAGTAGTCAATAGGTCCTTATAAAATAGAATTAAAAATAAAGGCCTCCCCTATCGACGCAGATGTAAATACTATTGCAGAGGCACTGCGTGAGTTAAATTTCAATATCAACAAAGTCGTGCAATTAACCAGAAGTATTAGTAACCAAGGCACCAATGCCGTTATATCAAGTACAAATTTTCCCAGATAAAAACTTGGATGATATTTACAAAATTAAGCATCCTAATGTATTTTAACATTACAGTAGAAAAATATATTAGCAAAAATCAGGTCCCGCAATGCCATAATTGTCCAGAAATGGCATCATTCTTCTGACAATTGTCATGTCGCACCTAGGTGCGTTAAATGTGGCGGGTTTTCATAAAACTGGAAACTGTGAGAAACCCCAGGAAAAATTGAAAATCCTGTTTGTGTGAATTGCCTTGGGCCTCACGTGGCTTCGTATAGAGGGTGCCCCAGGTTCCCTACATACAAAAAAGCTAATAAAACCAATAATACTAGGCCAGGAGTCAGTTATGCTCAGGCAATTAAAAATACTAACAAAGTCAGCAATGCCTCTGCCACAAGTGTCTCTGCGGATGCGGGTCAGGCAAAAATGTTACACCCTAAAAAGGCTGATTTACCCAATTATGTAAGCAAACCAAATCTCAGGCATGAAAATGCTCTTAAATCTACTTCTGAATATATAAGCAATGATAAGAAAAATTTTAGTCATGGTTCAAATGATATTTTTGAACTCATGAACATAATGAAAGAAATTGAAAATATCTTCGGATGCAATATAAGTAAAATAATTAATGTGTATAAAAGTAAATTGCCTGAACTCAGGAAATGCGAGCATATCCTGGACAAGATCCAGGTTCTGCATATTATGCTTGAAGAAATACACGGGCTCGCACATAATGAGTGATTATGAATAATGACCTTATAATTGTAACATGGAACGCAAACGGATTGCATTCCATAAATTAGATGAATTACGCATTTTTGTAAATGAGCACTGTCCTGATATTTTACTCCTACAGGAACACAAGCTTAGTCCACACACGAATGTCCAAATGCCAACTACTGTGTCTACAGGCTCGACCGGGAAAGGACCAACAGCCATCCAGGAGGTGGACTTCTAATCCTCGTCAAGCGCTCCATCACCCATCATCACACAACACTGCCACAGCTTTTAGGCCTTGAAGCCATAGCTATTACAGTCACTACACTCACCTCACATCCACTCACTGTTATCTCTGCCTATACACCCAGCAACAAAAGATCACAAGCAAATATTGCGAATGATTTTGAAGCGCTATTCCAGGGATAAATAGAAGGGTTAGGTCATTCCTTTGTTCGACTCCTTGCCGACGCGAGCCTCATGGAAGGGGGGAACCAGAAGTAATCTGACGTGTCTCTGTTGCACCTGCTCTGATTTTGCGCCTTTAAAACTGTAGTTTCATTCATTGGCGAGACGATTTTCTGGAGATCGCATATCCCAAATTAATGTTAATCATACATTTTGTTTTCTAATAATCAAATATTTAAATAATTTGTATATATATATATATAGTTTTAGTCAGTTTTCCTTTTAAATTCTATATTTAAAGTATCCTTTATGTAATATGGCTTCTTGTGCTGTAGCAACGTGCCGTAACACTTATAGAAATACGAAAGGAAGAGATATTGTATTTCATGCTTTCCCAAAGGATAATTTGCTTTTGACGAAAGAATGGATACATAAATGTCGAAGACAAGATTCTATTAATGTGAAAAACGCAAGAATTTGCAGCGAAAATTTTCTGTGCAGTGATTATGAAGATGACATGAGAAATCGCTTGCTTGGATTACCGCAAAAGAAACTGTTGAAATGCAATGCTGTGCCGAAAGTAAATTTATCATGTGCAGTAAACGAAATAACACAAAGAAATCGGAGACATTTGAACAGAAAACTAATGCAGAGTGCTTTTGAAAGACTACACGAATTAAGCCCAAAGAAAATTTATTTTGAGGCCGAGAACGAAATTGAAGCTGACAATAATAAATCAAATGTGAATGATTTTGAAATAAAACTCATAAGTGACAATGCCCTATGTGACAATATCCCTGAGTGCCCTAAGTGTTAGATAAACAAGATGTATTGATAATTTGAAGAAACAAAATAATATCCTTAGAAAATTGTAATAAAATATTGAAAAATAGAGAACAAAAAATTTTAGAATGTTTGCTCAGCGACAAAGAAGGTGGACGACATCTAGAAAGAAATTTGTATCGGAAATTCAGAAATTAAAAATCCCACAACAGCGAAATTTAGGAAAAAACAAACAGAATCGGAGAATTTGGAAAAACGTCTAAAGCATTTTTTACAAAGACGCAGATTAACGCATTGTTAGAAAAGAAGGAAAAATCAGGTGGACTAGTGAAGATATTTCACGTTGCATTGTCATAGGAGCTCTGTCATCTAAAAGTTACGATTTTTGGAAAGGAAAAGTGGGAATTCCTTTACCTAGCACTAGCACATTAAAGAGATGGTGCGCTAAATTTTCATGTAGTCCAGGAATTCAGAGTGATGTTCTTGCTGTAATGAAGGAAAGATGCGAATATTTGAATTCTGTAGAAAAAAATATGCGTTCTCAGTTTCGACGAAAAATGCATATAGATTCTAAAACTCTTGCTATGACTCTAAACTGGACCAAATTCTCGGTCCTTTTCAAAAAGTGCAGTTTGTTTTAATCGCAGATATCTCATTTCGCAGTGGAAACAACACCCAATATTTTTTTTTTTTTTTATTTTAACACTCCAATGAAGAAAGAACTTTTTTTTCACTCATAAGAACATATTCAATCATCTGGAGTAGAAGCGAAAGCCATAATGTCTGATTTAGGAGGATCTACTACTTTGTGGAAAGAGTTACAGATTTCGATTAATAGTTCTCAGATTCCAAATCCAGTATTCCAAACGAAAAAAATATGGGGTTTTGCAGATTTAGCGGATTTTTGCAGATTCAACAACTTGTAGTTGTATTGCGACTGTACAAGTAAG